CCAGGAATTCGTTGTTTCCTATAAGCAACAAATTATGATTTATATGTTTGAAGAACATCGTGGAATCAATGTAAACTATGAACTGCCATTTTTGCTGCACTCATACACCTGAAATTTATGATCCATGATTCCATATTGAACTTAAAAATTGTCTGAATCTAACATCATGAATATCAGTAAGCAATGATAACATCAGCATTGGAAAGTATCGATGGTGTAATTTAATTTCCTTTTTTTGGTACATGCAAACTGTTGACCAATCATCTCATTACTGGAATTCTTTCTCAAATTTTTACGAATTCATTTCAAAAAGATTTTTAAATTTCATAAAATATGGATAAATTTTGAAGAAATAATTGTCTGTTGCACTTAAAGGTCCTATTTTACTTAATCAAATTTGTTTTTACCCTCGTAATCAAATCCGTTTCCTCCTCCTCTTTTCCCATTATAAATTATTCTTGTCCAGTTTCATTCTCTTTTTCTTTCATGTTGGCTCACATTTTTTTACTCCCTTCAAATCACTTTCAGGCCAAAAGAATAATAAGCAGTGCTTGTTAGCACTAGAATGTATTTTCTTTCTTTTTTTTCAACATTTCTTCTGCAAACAACCAAAGATGTTTCTAACAGAAATTGCCCTAAGCAAAATCTAAAAAAAACAAAAAAAAAAAAAAAAAAATCATTATTTAAAATTTGGAAAGATAAACGAAATATGAACTTTTACTTTTCAGTTCTCAATAACAAAACTCTTTTTTGAAGAGATACATTGAAAATAACTCGATGAAATGCTTATGTCCAATTTTGAATATTTCATTGTCACTTTCATCAACTACTTTTGAACTGATATTTTACGGTTTTTTTGACAAGAAGTTAGAAAGTTTCAAATATCCATCGTTTTTCTTTTTCCAAACTTTTCTTATCCAAACATTCTTATTCGTTTTATTTCTACATCCATTCGAAAATAAATTTTGAGCTTAACTTTTCATTTCACTTAGCTATTTTCAATTTACTTTAAATTACAGTTAATTACTGCTTGTTTAGATTAATAAAGCAAAAAACATATTTTATAATACTTTTCCGCATTCATTTACCACACAACGGGAAAGTCATAATTGAGCGTCACGACAAAGAGAATATTTCTTTCCTTCTTATCATTACCAAGACCATAATTATTATCCCTTAGGGTTGTCATTATTATTGCTTATCATTTATCCTTGGGTAAAAAATACTGTTTGTTGCATATCATATCATTTTCTTATGATAGCATAGCACATTATTATGATAAGAATAATTTCGTGTTTGATCAAATCCACAGTTGTTCCTTAAGTTTGAAGAATTCCGATAATAAATAATGTTCATGGTCACTCAGATTCTTCCGAAAGACTGGCCGTTATCAGTCTCTTCCGGTGATAATTTTGTAAACTTGATTTGAAATCCACATCACTGATTATTCATTTATCTAATGTCGATAACTTTTTTTTGCACTTCGGTATACGAATTCGCGCTTTTTCTTCGTAATTCTCAGAACCACGAAGCATTTTTTTTTTATGAGAGAGAAACAGAAAATCAATAAAATTAAAACTGATTTTCGGTAAAAACCGGAATTCCAATAAAGTCATTTCGGAATATCATAAAGTTTTCAAGATTTTAACGAGAAATTTAAAAATAGAAAAAAAAGAAAAAGGAATAAAACTGAGATTAATGAAAAAGGCAACAAAAATCATTTCCGTTTTGTATGTTGGATTGCTTAGGAGCGACATTTAAAAAGCTTTTTGATTGCATGATTGAATTATGGATTCTTGATCTTAAAGAAAATTTAGAGCCAGACGAATCTTAATAAATTAATTAATACACGGTAAGTAATTTTCATCATCAAAAATCATTTGAATAAAAAGTCATTGTAGGTCACTAGCATCAGTGTGTTCGAATCACTGATGTGCGAACTGGAGTATTTGTGATGGAATTGTTTAATTTGAAGAATGGAAAGATCTATTCCGTAAATTAAAAACAAAAAAAAAGCAAAAATTGACCTCGAAATAACCTCAGGATCTTTTGAAAAAGGAATTGATTTAAATGTCGAGTGAAGAAAAATGATTAAATACTAGGAAAGATATTATTTATCAACAACAATTTATTCAACC